AAATAAAGTTAAGATTTATTAAATTGCTGCTAAGCCGCTAGCTTAATAGTCGTTACATAACCTAGGGTTATGCTAGAACAGGCATAGCGCTATTAGTTATTAGAGTAAGATTATACTTAAACTTCGGATAAGAGTTGGATACAACTTTTACATAAGTTACCAAATTAATTATTTTGATTAAGTGCAGATATCTATAGATAGCAGAAGCAGTTTTAGTATTACTTTTAATAGGTTATAAGCTTAAAGAGTACCTTCTAAATACTAACAAACAAATAAAGCATTAAGCAATTAAAGGAGATCCTAATTAGCAGCATTCTATAACCCCTTATTCCGAAAGGTCCTAAATTCGCCTAGCAGTTTTAGAACCTTAAGTTAATTAGACTCCTTTATAACCTTAAAGCTCTCTAAAGTCCTTTACAGTCTCTGCAAGATGAGCTCTACTGACAACAATAACTATAAGAAGCGAGAGAAGCTCAAGGGCTTCGAAAACTGGCCTTGTTAGTCTAATTTAGCCTATTTATATCTGATAGAGAAAGAGCTATAGAAATATATCGCCTCTAGTCTACTAAACGACCTAGATAATTATAGAGCCGCAAGAGCAGCCTATATTCTAAAAAGGGATGTAAGTGATGAGCTGTTTTAGGGCATTAAGGCTATTAATAACTTATAGCTTATCTAGAATCATCTTAAATCTATATGCTTACAAGCCAGATAAGGCGTTATCTACACATCTTTACAAGAGCTCTTTTTTTATCTAGCTAATTATAAACCCTTTAGCCTTAAGAAGTCTATTAATACTTATATTAGTAAACTATTAGCTATTTTTAAGCGGATTTATATAGCTGTCAACCTTACAAGAAATATTTAAGAGGATATTTAGATTATTTAACTCCTTAAAAGCCTTTTTACCTAATTTAATAATAAGAAGGAGCATATCCTTAATTAGAAGGATATAAAACTAGCTAACATTTAATAAATACTTGTTTCTAAAGAAGTACAAATTAATATAGACTTTAAGACAGGCCTGCTATCTAAAGTAATTATAAATGTAAGATTCAGAAGCAAGTAACGTAAGAACCTAGCTAAGATCTAATGCTATAACTGTAATAAACTCAGCTACTTTATAAAGGACTATAAACTAGCTAAACAGACTAAAAGAAGCACTAATAAGAAGAGAAATACTATTAAGTTAAAGCGGCTAGCCTTTAAATATTATATTAATTAAGTAAAAGCCAAAAATGACATAGATAGTAACTCTGAATAATAAGAGTTTCCTTATAATATTATTTATATAATAAAGTTAACTAAGCTTAATAAAGAACGTAATTAGTATATTAATTTCTACGCTAGTAAATATATTACTAGCTAGAATAATTAGTTCTAAGCACTAATAATTATAAATAAATAATTTATTATTACTAACACTAGTATTATTATAGCTAAATAAGTTAGTATTATTAGAATTAAGACAAAAGATAACTATATAGATATTAATAATATAGTATATATGCTAGCCTATATAAGTAATCTCTTATCTCTTAGTTAATTAAAGTCAAATAAAGTAAAATATGTAAATATAAACAACTATATAGTACTTATTATTAATAAAGAAATTATTATTTATATAACTCTTAGAGATAACCTTTTTATACTTAATAATACCTATACTGCTATACTAATAGCTATATAAGGCAGATCAATATTCAAAACAGCTAAGAATCTATAATAGTAACTATAACATTATTAACTTAGTTACACAAGCTATATTCAAGTTGCCTAAACTAGCAGGATGTCTACTAGTATAGATCTAGCTACTTTAGACACAGATCAGGCTATCTTTAAGCTAGATCTAGCTATTTCTGAAATAAAGCTAACTAAATAGTAAGAGGATAGTCAAATCTATAAGCCTTATATTAAGAATAAATAGACGCAAATAATTTATTATAAAGAAGGACAAAAGACTATAAGGAAACTTAAATTAGTATACTCTAACTTATAGAGACCTTATTACCCTGCCTCCTTTTATAATAAGCATTATACTATAGTACTAGAGGACAACTTTATAAAGAAGAGTTAAATAAGCTTCCTAATGCAAAAGTTAGATATATATAAGTACTTTAAGAACTAACATATTATAATAGTAGCTAAATTAGGATATTCTTTAATAATACTTTAAATTAATAGAGAGGAAGAATTTATAAGTATTATCTTTAAGAACCATTATAAGATAAAGAGCATATTTATTAGCTTCTTTGCGCCTTATACCCTTAAGTATAATAATAATATAAAGCGAGTATAAAGAACTATTTATATAATAAAGAACTTAATACTAATTAATAATAATCTATTAAACTACTTCTAAGCTAAGGCTATAAATACTGCTAATTATATCTAAAATTAACTATTAGTAAAAGGAATTAAGATAACTCTTAAGCAAGCTTAGACTAACTAGATACCTTATCTTAATTATTTACAAATATTTAATAGTATTATTTATACTTATATCTTTAAAGAGAAGTAATAAAAGTTTAATATTAAAAGGACCTAGACTAGTATTCTGACAAGATATATACTAACTATAAAGCAAATCTATATATAAAGTCTTATATAACAAAACACTTATATTATCTTAGTATACTTTATTAATAAAAGACGCAAGAGAGCTAACCTCTTAATATAATACCTTCTGTCTCCCTTTATAAATACTTTATAAAGAACGTACATAAAAAAGGCATAACTAAATACTCTTAAAAAGAGAAATAAGCCTTAAAAGTAAGCTAATAATACTATAGATCCACTTAATTCTATATCCTCTTTAAGAGAAGAGTTAATTAAATAAGACTAAGACATGTCTAAAAGAATTAGACTAAGTAAGTTAAATATATAGCTAGTAAGAGAACTATCTGTTATAAAGTAGCATAAGATAAGTGAGTAACAGCTGTAATAGCTCTCTAGCCAGGCAAATAAGTCAGATATAAAAGTTATAAAAGATTCTGTTATAAGTCAGAGGACCCTTATAGAGGTTATAAAAAATCCTACTATATTAAGATAGTTCGCCCTTATAATAGACGTGACAAGAGGCACTTGCAAAGCCTAGGACGCTAAGGCTACTAGTATTATAAAAGTTACTTTAGTATTAAAAGAAGTACGTTCAAGTAAGAGGAGTCCTAGTATACTTACAGGTAAAGAGAAAACATAGCTAGGCTATAACGAAGTAGTATAATTAGGTAAGCGTCTTAATATACTTATAAAGACTACAGAGGCAAAGCAGTCTAGTTACTTTAAAGACTTAGATAAGACAGCTAGAAAGACTATTAATATAATAGACATTAGTAAATACCCTAGTATAAGAGAAAGTTTATTATTAGTATATAGAAATAAAGACTACTTAAGGCTAGATAAGCTAAGGACCTATATATAAGCGGTAATAGACCCTATATATAGTAGATAATAAAGAGATATAGTTAATAAAGAACTACAGAACT